ATAGTGACTCAATTAATTGCGTCAAATAATTGTGTCAATTGCGTCAAGGATCTATGAATTTCAGCAACATGTATAGTCTATAGCACAGTAGTTAGTGCTTCACAGGTCAAATCACAAGATATGGATTCAACTCCAGGTGAAGGCAGTTGAATAGAATTAATATGATATCTGGAGCTATAACCTGAAATGTGCTGTTTCTCATAGGAAGCCGATTCACGTACTGATCCAGTAGGCATTGAGATTGTGATTTCCAAAGAAGGAAATGTTTGATCTTATTATAAGTATAAACATTAATAACTCTGAAGCAATTATCCCAATAATCACTTCATCTTTACATACCAATTCACGTGACGTGATAATTGTCTGGTTGGTGCATGGTTATCGTTGATAAAACAGGGCGTACCAAACATTTAGATATACAGAAAGGGCTGTACTCTATCTTAACCAATTCTATACGACAATCGACCAATGGTAGTTGGATCCCTAGCCTGGGATATCCCAATCCAGTGCAAAGCTTAAAAGGGTAAAACCTGTCACAGGTGATAAGAAGGGTCATGACTTGTGTGAGCCCAGAATTAGTACAAGTGGTGATCTGAGGTTCAGGCAATAAGATAAAAGAAGATACTTGGACCAACTTTCGTAAGCATCATTCCTCTACTCACGAGCCGAATCTAGAATAGGTTAGGTAGTTTAAAACTAGTAGTAGGATTTCTATTCTCTATAGATTTGCCTCTCGGATCAAGATGACTAATCATTAAGCGATAGGAGTCAGGATTCAGAGATGTAAAGATGGGAAGGTGCAGGTTAACTTAAATAGACCTTGTAGTACTGTACTGTTGGATATAAATTACTCAATAAAAGATTATGTGCTATTGCACCTTTCAACTTTAAAAAAAAAAAAAAAAAAATTATTGAATTATTATTAAATATAGAGAAACCTTCCTAAGTGCATTCTTTATAAATACACTTACTATATTTTCTTTCTCTAAATGTATAATCAAGCTTGGTTCCAATATATAGAACTCTTAATAAAACTATCTCTATAAATTTACACCTTCTATAAATCATATTTTTCAAAAAATTTTCTATAATTCCGAAATGTGTGCATTTAAAGAGAGTTCATTGTATATAAAAAAAAAATCATTCCTGATTTACTTGCATTTGTCAAAAATTACCATATTAGAAAACAATATTTTTTTTATAAAATAAAACTTCCAAAGACCCTAAAGAATTATCTATATCCTTTAAGAGTTAAGCAAATAAACCTTATTATATCCTTTTTGACATATTCATCACTAACATAAACAAATGTCTTACAGTCATTATTCATAAAAATATCAATATTGATATTATTTATATTATCCATTTAGTTTCTATTCCCAGACTCCTCAAATTAACAATCCTTTAAAAATATGGCTTATATCAGTCTGAGTTTAAGATAATAACTAAGAAATCTACAAAGTTATCTTAGTATCTTTCGAAATTTGAAAAAAAAAATTAGAAAATCATTATACTAAAGTTAAAGTAATACTTTCATATCTAATGCCTTTTGATGACCTTAACTTGTTCTTTAACTATTAATATACAATAGTATTCAAAATTTTTTGAAAAAATTTTTTAATAAATTGTATTATTATATTTATTATTTTTTTTAAAATTATAAAAAAGCATCCAATATAAAACTTTATTGATATATATATTGATATCCAAGTTACATTAAACATCTTTACAAAGTAAATCTGCAAATTAATATTAACCTATCTACAATGCTAACTATTACTACTTTTGACATACTTAATGTGCTTTGAATTAATTCTAGTGCTTAATGGTTAATGTCTTTCCAGAGCTAATATGTAAAACTGTCAAATTACATGAAGGTGCTGCACCACAATTCTCAGGTTGGCCTCCAAACTTATAACTTAAACTGATACTTGTTAATATATAAGTGGCCCTTAAGAATAGGTCCTTAAACTATTTAGCATATAAAATTTCACAGATCAATTATGTCCCTTATAAAGGAACATAATTAATTCAAAAACACTTGAATTAAGTAGCCTAAATTGCAAAAAACCTTTATAGGTAGTTTTTTTTTGACCTTATATTAAAAAAAAAAACCTTTTTAATAGTGAGGGATATTTGAATTATGACCTCACCTTTAGTTTAGGGACTCATCTTTAGTGGCACTACATATGAAACAAGGAGAAAGGGATAGAGATGACATCTTTGAGAAAGAGAATAGTGTTGTTGATATTGTAGATAGTTAGTGGAAGAAACTGATTGTGATAGAAGTATGTGGCTTTAATTATTAGTATGATAATATTATTAACAGTTAAGGGCTGAATAAGATATATGAAAAGCCCAGTATTTTTACATGAATATAGTGAGATTGTTGTTACTTAAATTGATGAAATTGACAGGATTGGATAGATTGTTGATTACTATAAAAGGAAATTTTTAAGAATCAGTGGTGGACAAGTAAGAGTTTTTTTTTTACAATAAAAAAAATTGTATTATTATTTAATAAATATTGTTAGCATAATAATTACATGGGTGGGAAAGAGGTATGACAGAACGGGGGATAAGGGTATGGGTTGGGTACCAGGTCTGGCGTGGTGCAGGGTCAGATGCATCAGATTATGCATCAGTGGAGGGCTAAAAGTATGTGAAAGCTTGTTGTAAAACTTGCAGGACATGACGACTGATTTAAGGACGCGTCGCAAGCAATATAAATAGCTGTAGAGTAGAATAAAAATGTAATAAATTAACAATTGCTTAATAAAGAAGTCCCTGCTTAATTGAAACACCAAAACTTGTAATTTTGCGCAATGGTTTAATTATAAACTTATCTTTCTTGTCCGTAGATTGTCGATCGTATAGTAGATCGACAGGGCCTAGGATCAAGTTAGGGCAAAAATAATTAAGGACACCATAAGACAAGGCTGCGGTATCCGAGTGTCAGCAAGGGCCTGACAAGTCTATCCTATCGTAAGGTGAGGTCTAGCCCCGGGTTAGCGACAGACTCGCCAGTAGTAATAACAATATTAATTTAAAAATATAAAAAAATTAAATATAAATTTTTTAGTATTAATAAATAATTTTAATTAAAATAATTTTATATTAATTAATAATATTATCTAAATATTATATTTTTTTTTCTAATGTTATGTTTTAAAAAATATATTAATTTTTTTTTTTTTTTTTATGTCGTAAAAGGGCATCAGATGCAAAACTTTATTAATATATATAGGCATATCTGGATTATATCTAACATCTTTACAAAATCAAATTTATAAATTAATGTTAACCTATCTATGATGCTAACTATCCCTACCCTGATTACACATAGTATACTTCGGATTAGTTTTAGTGCTGGATGGTTAATGCCCTTTCAGAGCTGAGATAAAGACTTGTGATTTGGTGACGCTGCTGGTATGGTTTGCCTGTGATTCTGTAACTTCTATTATTAGCTGAAGTAAATTTTTATTCTCTGAGATAGCTTTTGATGTGTGAGTGCTGTTGGGGCTTTCGGTTGGGGAGGAGTTCCTTTTCCATTTGACTCACTTTACTTCAGATGTGTTAGCAGTTGCTGATCTTGGAATCCATATCTGTGAGTATAATAAGGCTAGTATTTTGTTTGCCATCTTGGCATGGCTGGCGATAGATAATTGTATGTCTATGTTTAGCATTCCGCTAACAAGTTTGTTAAGGCTAGATTTTCGGCCAAAGTCTAATTTTTGCAGATTTCTTTCGATTTCTGTTAGGTTCTTCCTATTACTATTTTTTCTTATGAGCTTTATCAGACTTGTTCTTATTTTGTTTTCCATTATGCTGTATGCTGCGATATTTTTGTAGCAATCAAAGATATGACTTTGAGTCTCCACTACTGTTAGGCACCTAGGGCAGAGGCTATCAGTATAAGTACTCAGGTAACGGTCGTGTAGTAGTTGTCTAGATGGTAACGTTCCGCTCAATAGTTTGAGTCTAAAGGCTAATAATTAAGAGGTGTTCGCTTTATCTTTATTGATTAGTAACTTGTTTGTCATGGTCAGGGTTTGAAGTACTGTTGTTTTCATGCTGCCTTTCCATCTGTTTTTAATTGATGAGCTCTGGGTAATATTGGCGAGTCTGTGTGTCCTCTGGATTATTTTGGTCCAAACCACTGGACTGAAGCTTTAACTGTTCTTGATTTTTGGACTGGAGATATAGCTTTCCGGCTTCACTAGGTTGTTGATTCCTATGATTGTGTCGCTATCTTGATGGCTTGAGATAATCGGGCTTGACTCTAGTCTCAATTTGATATTCTTGCTTTTGCACGTGCTATTGATTCTTTCCTTTAGAAAACTATATGAAAATTTGACTCTTTGATTCGAGTAACTTGGAGTATGCAGATTTAGTTTCTTTGGAAGATTCATTGCTATGTATGTCTGGTCATTTGCTGCCTCCACTAGCCCTATTATTTCTAATAGAATGCTAATTGGCTGTAGGTTTGTTGAATAAAGAGCTATATTGGTGTTATGTCCTCGTATGGTAATTAATTCTCCTTTGCTCTCAACATTGAAGTGTAGAAATAGTTTGTTAAAGTTGATGACCTGTTTGAGATCCTCTATGGTATTAGTGTTAAATAGTGCTGGTAGGTCTCTGCACTCATGATTGGCGTTGTACTGAAGTTGAAGCCAAATTTTCTTTAGTACATTGGCTAGGCGGTGTTCATTGTTTGTCTTATATGTCTAAAGGGATATTGCTTTGGTTGTTGGGATGGCTATTTGGAGGCTGTTGACATGGCATTGGCATTTTTTAAGAGTCTTGTTTGTTGTTAGTCTGTAATGGGTTTCTTTTATTTGAGGTTGGATATGGTCACGATTGATTCTTGTTTTGATAAAGTTCAACTCATTGTTGGTGATAAAGGCCCAGAATCTGGCTTTTATATTTGGGATACAGGACGAGGTTCCTCTAAGGGTCTGTGAGGGATTGATTTTGCTGAACCAAATAGGTACCGGTCCTTTGGGTGTGGGGCGAAAATGTGTGTTAAGCTCATGCCATGTTAGCTTTTTACTTGATTGAAATTAAGTAGATCTTCTAAGAACTTGATATTTCCTCTGTTCAGTCCTAATGCCTGACGTTTTAGATATTTGCTGTTAAATGAGAAGTGGAGGCCGATTGATTGTTCTCCTTTGGGGTGGTTGTACTGGCATGGGGTGGGACAAATGTTAATTCTATACATTTTTGAGGCTGCTGCTGCCTGTGTGATCCATGTTTCTGGAAATTTCTCAGGGTGGCACATCGGGCAGAGCCAAATAGCAAGACTGGCTTGCAGGGAGTTTATCTCAAGTGACATAGCTTCTTGGGTTTTTGTGTTGGTGAGCTTGGCAATGAGAAGTTTTATTAGAGTCAAATTTTGGTTGTCTGCTAGGTTTACCAGGTTGAGTCTGGCTTGCGAATAGATGATTTTGTCTGATATTGTTTTTCCTATCTTGAATTTTCCTTTAATCGTGTTATTAACTCTGGTTTGAAGCTTTTGTAATTGTGGCCTAGGAAGAGAGCTTGTTAAGAGGGAGTAATTAAGTTTGCTGAGAATGATCCAGTCCAACACTTGTTTCATTATCGGTCCATTCCATTTCTGTTTGTGGCAAGCTTCTATGATCTGGTTCAGATCTTTGATGCAAATTTGGTTTGGTATTCCTCTGGCTGGATCTTCAGCAAAGAAATTGCCAAGGTATCGGAGAGGGGTTTTGGCGCTAAGTGGTTTCACTACTGTATCTGTGACTCTTAAGCCTGTGTTCCTTGCCCTGTTGTTGTTTGCAAGGGTGATGATAAGCATTGTCTTGTCTGTATTGCATTTTATATTGTTAAGCGCGAAAAAGGAGCAGAAGATATCTGTAGTGTCTTGAAGATTGTTCAGGGAGTTTGCTAAGAGAAGCATGTCGTCCATGTAAGTAAGAATACTATATGGAGTTAGCGGTTGCTTGGCGTGGTTATGAATTGTTGTCACCATTGGATCGTAGAAAATTGTCCATAAGAGTGGTGAAAGTGTCTCTCCTTGGTCTAGGTCTTTTGACACCTCTATGTTGCTTGTGCTGCCAAAGTTTGTTGCTACTGCGAGTTCTTGTTTACTTAATAGATTGTGAAAGATGCTAATAAGCTTGCTTGGAATTTTGATTCTCTTTAGAGCAGCTTTGAGACTGTTGAGATTGACTGAATCGAACACCTTCACAATGTCAAAGGAGGCTATCCATAGTTCGCTGTTCAGATTTTGTAACAATCCTGTGCTGTGCCTAGGACCATAACTGCGCCAAGAGATCCGGAATGTTTTTGAGTAACCCAGACGACCTACAAGACCAGGTATATTTGTGTCAGACGCATACATGGTGCGATTCTGACCCCTGACGATGTGAC